CAGAGATGCTGACACAAACATCCCTCCTCATCCTCCTCCTTCACCAGGAGAACTTTGAAAGCTTTGGTAAAGAAGTTTGTCTCGGAGCGTCTGGACCGGCTCTGGTCTCGTTGCTGACAGGATTAGTTCTGATATCTGGAACCAACTGCGTCCTGAAGGTGGACGATGAAGATGATGCAACAGGTGGTCACATGACAGAGGCAGGGCGGTGATGTCACTGAGGCTGGGATTTCAAAGTAAACTTTATTGTCATCTCTATATACAGTACAGTATATAGCGCGATGAGACAAGGCTACATCTGAAGTTTGTCACACGTCCTCCTCCTGCTGCACTGTAGCTCCGCCTCCATTCAGTTTCACTGCAGGCAGAAGTAACGGCGGACCTTGAACTCACCGTGAACTTTATTAGTTTTAAAAGTCAGGTTTAATAACAGCTGCAGGCAGGAGGTGATCCAAGGATCTTTTCCATCCTTGGCTCCTTTCATGAAGGACACTCACTCGTTTCCTCTGCTGTAGGAAGTCATGAAGGAAGCACCTTTGTTTGGAGCCGAGAGTCGGCGCCATTATTTTAGCCTTCATATGGAGCGGCAGCCCAAGAGTGCTGCGTGTTTTTGTGTGTTTGAGGATGATTTTTATTTGTCAGCCCGACAACCATCGATCTGTCTGTGTCTCTGTCTGAGCTCAACGTCACTGCACCTCACATCCTCACGTTTTAGAGTCTTTTCTGCGATTCGTATAAAATTTCTACAATTCAAAGTTTGAAAAGCTGTGAAATTTTCTCTTACATTAAAAGCTTTTCAGCATATATATATTTTTAAAAGCAGTCTTTTGACCCACTTTCAGCCTGAACATGAAAACAAAACTTTAACAGTTTTTCATCTTCAAACTTCAGAGTTACAAACAGGCTGGATGTGGTCGATGGACCTTTTAAAAACGTGTAAATCAGAAGTGATGGAGCAGAAGCTCCACGCTGGGCTCAGATGGAGCGCTGAGTCTGCCGACCTCCACCTGATGGAGGATCAAAGCAGCAGAGAGCTTCCGTCCTCCTGCTGCGTTCACACCAAACAGGAAGTTCCTCCTCTGACAGTCGAGCAGGCGCAGTGAGCGGGTGGAGGAGGAGCTGGTCAGGCCTCGGTCGAGGCGACCTGTGAGGCTGAACAGGTGAAGGTGGAGTCCACACCCGGCTCCACCTTCAGCAGAGACCCGTTCGTTCCTCCTCCCCGTGCTACATGATTAAATGGGGAGGAGTTGGAGTCTGACTCTGCTTTTCTGAGGTGAGTCCGGGACGCCGTCTGCGGCTGTGACAGCGCTCGGCGCTCCGCACGGACATCAGAGAGTCGCCGCTCCCCGCCCGCCTCCGCGCGGAGCGCCGCTGTGTTGAATTATTGAACGGCCAGATGAGAGGTGGC